AGGAATGCCCTCCAGGAAACCTCTTTGCTGCTGACGCAGCCCTCAACCAAAAGGGAACTCTGAAATCTGGCTTCAAAGTCGGAGAAACTGCTCAGCTGGAAGGTGGGAAGAACCTCCACTCGTAGTCAGGAGACCTGGGCTCCAGGCCAGCTGCGAGCCCTCGGCAAGATGCTCAACATCTTTGTGCCTCAGTGTCCCCATTCTTAAGAATGCTTATGCCCTGATCTCCCAGGCTTGTCACGGGGATCAGACAAGCTCCCGGGTTGGGGCAAGCGAAGCCTTAGATCTTTCAGAAAAGGGAAATAAATTCAGAGCTAGCACATGAGGGCAGGGAAGTTGTTCATGGCCAAGGCTACACGGCTGAGGGGACAAGTGGGGTTGAAATCCAGTCTGGGCTCCACTTGTCACCCTGGCACAGGACTGTGTCCACCCAGAGAAAGGGACACCTTTTCCATATGATGGCATTAAATGGTCTGTGGGGAGTCCAGGTGAACTCAAGCCTGGGGGCTACTGAGCCATGCACACATTTTCTGTTTAATGTGAGCAGTGTGGTGACAACAGTCAGCATGGGATGTGATGAGGTCCTGAGGGAGGGGAGAGCATGTAACCCGCCTGGAGGGAGCAGAGGGCTTCCCTGCAGACAGGGATGCCTGAGCTCGGTCTTGAAGGATAAAGGGTTGGCCAAAAGCAGAAAGGAATTGAAGAACCCCTGAAGATGGCTGGAATTCTCCATGGATCTCTTGCACGTCTGGTGAAGACTCACTGACAGCTTTTATTCCAGACTATCTTCTTTTTTTCTTCTTTTTTTAAAATTTTAAAAATTTACTTATTTATTTATTTTTGGCTGCATTGGGTCTCTGTTGCTGCGCGTGGGCTTTTTCTCTAGTTGCGGCAAGCAGGGGGGCTACTCTTCGTTGTGGTGCGCGGACTTTTCATCACAGTGGCTTCTCTTGTTGCGGAGCAAGGGCTCTAGGCGCACGGGCTCTGTAGTTGTGGCACACAAGCTCGGTAGTTGTGGCTTAGTTGCTCTGCGGC